TTTGACAAATAGCTATTTCTCTGCAGAAAGGCTCCCTTAGCTTTACAAAGCCCTAGGCAAATATAAGGTATACCCACCAGCACTTACAGAACAGAAGAGCGAAGAAATAATCCTGCTTTCCTGATCGCCCACACCCAAGGATTTCTTTTACTAGTAAATCCCCTTATACGTTTAAAACCAAATTTGGGCTATAAAAATTAAATTTGCACACGACTTTCTAGGGGGTACATCTCTAATATACAACAAGGAGTGTGATTATTGTTTAATTAACCACTTGGAATAGAGTCGAGTCAAAAAGAGAAGTCAGAGGTTTAAAAGCTGCTTTTTATGGCATGTAGTATATATTACTATCGGGATCCAAATCCCAGCATTGGCCCTTACTAAATGCGTTACTCTAAATTAATTAACCTCTCTGCACCTAAGTTTCCACATCTGCCTAAAAAAAGGGGAAGAATGGGATTGTAACTCATCTTTCTCATACGGCTATTGTTCGGCTTGAATGGGACAAAGTATTAAAAATGGTTAAGAAGTCCCCGGCGAACAGAAAACACCTTGCCTATGTTAGCTATTACTATAATAGGATTTTCAGGTTTCTTTCTTTCCTTCAACAGCACAAAGAATAAGAACATACCGGGAACAGCACCGTGGGACGGGATAGGCCTTGGTGGGGACATTGTAAATTTTTGCCTCAGGTCTTTCCGATTAGCTACATAGGGATTCTTTCCTCCCACGCTCCTGCCCCATGTGGTTTGGGTGGGGTAGACCTCGAGGCCCGGCTCCTGAGATTGGCACATGACTGAGACCTAGCCAATTACAGCAGTCTACCCCTCCATCACCCCCAAGGTGAGACAGTTATACAAGGGCACGTGATCCAAGTTAGGCCAATGAGAACCAGTTCCTGAGCACTCATGAAATGATGGGGACCCACACCTCTCTGTCAGGTTGGTGGCCATCTTGAGTAGCCATATGTAAAATCTTCCAGAAAACCAAACCAACATGGTAAAAAAAAACAAAAAAACAAAAAAAAAAAAAACCATCTATGGGAGACAACGAGGAGCCACGCCCCCCAAACGACCTCGAGCCCTTGCATGCAGTCATGTTACTCTGGACTGTCCAATTGCATGTGCCGATTTTTTAAGCTTATGCCAAGTTTGAGCTGAGTTTTCTGTCACTTGCACCCGAAGAGTTCTGACACACACTAATGAATTGTCATGACCTATGGCAAGAATTGAATGCAAATCTTATGCAGCTTGGTACCACAGAGAAAGCACGGCCAGAAGAGGAAAGGCTTGAACTGTAGTCTTCGTTCTGTCTTGAGCCAGTTGGGGATTGCTGGGAAAACCGTTTCACCTTTCTGGGTCCCAGTGTGCTTGTATGTCAAATGAGAGAGGTGAGTGAAAATCAATCTCTAAGATCCCTTTTCAGCTCTAACATTCTAGGAGTCTCTATTATTCTTGGGTTCATTTCGGTTGCGAATATCTTGGTATAACCGGTTACCGATTCTCATATTTTCCTGCTTCTTTCTGTTTCAGCTGAAAAAAATTTTCTATCAGACCCTAAGTCTCTCTATTCCAAGCGTTTATTCCTTCCCCTTCAATTTCCTTCGAAGGAAAATATATTTATTTTTGTATACTTGGGCATAATGATCCCATTTTCTTCTCATTTATATATTTTTAAATCTAATTAAGGTGATAAGTTCCTTGGGGGTTGAAACTAGAGTTTTCCTGTGGGTGTAAACATTTTTTTTTTTTAATTTTTTTTTTTTCCAACGTTTATTTATTTTTAGGACAGAGAGAGACAGAGCATGAACGGGGGAGGGGCAGAGAGAGAGGGAGACACAGAATCGGAAACAGGCTCCAGGCTCCGAGCCGTCAGCCCAGGGCCCGACGCGGGGCTCGAACTCCCGGACCGCGAGATCGTGACCTGGCTGAAGTCGGACGCTTAACCGACTGCGCCACCCAGGCGCCCCAACATTATTTTTTTTTTAATTGGCAACCGAGCTGCCAGTTTTTACAGAGCAGCAGGATATGGGTTTTAAGTAATGTAAGCAGGAAATGGGTCTCCAGCCCACACAAAATAAATGCAAAAGTACTGATTTACCCTGAGTCCACATCTGGCTTACTCATTTATAATTTCAGCCTAGACTAAAATTCTCCCACAGAACTGCACGTGACTGACATCCATGTCTACAGAATGTGAGACCAAAAATGGAGTGTCATGGGATCATTCTGTGAGTCTGACTTACACATATAAAAAAATCTGGCTATTTCAGGGAAACGTTGTGCTCTTCAGCGGTAGGGTCTGGGGCCCGAGCTAAGTTAGTATTAGCTCTCTTATCTCCATATTCATTGATTTTAAGTAATTCGATAGCTCTAAAGTTTGGAGGGAGCAAAGAGAACTGGCTGAAATGTGGTCAACTGACCCATCATCCACAGATAGAAGTTTCCAGGGGAAAAAGACCTTCCCAGGAGGTATGGGAGGACGTTACCCTATCTGATGACCCAGTCCATTCTTGCTCATCAGGACCCTAAAATATGACTAAGACGCCAACCTCAACTGCCTTAACGGCACCTCTTGGCAAATATAACAAAACTTGCTGGAGGCAGTTGGTTTAGCGATTCAGTCCAGCTCTTCAGGGCCCAGTTTCTGTCTGTCTTTCCACTCTTCTATCTACAGTGCCTTCTTTGTCCTCGAGTTGGAGGATAGCTACGAGGGGCACTTGTGGCTACCTGCTTCCTTGTCCACATACGTCAGAAAGGAGGGCACTTCTGTCCTAATATTTTAAGCTTGAGTCTTTTGTCCTGTTTGGGTAATTTTATTTTGGTAAAATTTCAAGTTTGCTCCAAAGGTGCAAGAATAGTACAAAGACCTCTTGTACGCCCTTCATCTAGATTCACAATTCTTCATAAGTAATAATATAGAACGGTATATTACAGTGCTATAATCTATAATCCGTATTCAAATTTCACTCACTGTCCCAATAATGTCCTTTAGAACTATTTCCCTCTGGCCAAGAATCCAATCTGGATTATGCATTGCAGGTAGCTGGCATGTCTCTTTTAATCTGGAACAGTTTTTCAGTCTGTCTTTGCCTTTCATAATGTTGGCATTTTTGAAGGCACTAGTTTGTTTTTTTTTAATTGTGTTGCTTTCTTATTACTGAGTTTTCAGAGGTTTGTATATTTTATTTTTTTAATATTTTAAAAAATATTTATTTTTGAGACAGAGACAAGAGCGTGAGTGGGGGAGGGGCAGAGAGTGGGGGAGACACAGAATCCGAAGCAGGCTCCAGGCTCCGAGCTGTCAGCACAGAGCCCGATGTGGGGCTCGAACATGCGAACCTCGAGATCATGACCCGAGCTGAAGTCAGCCGCTTAAGTGACTGAGCTACCCAGGCACCCCAAGAGGTTTGTGTATTTTAGATACAAGTCCTCAATCAGATGTGCAATTTGTAAGTAATTTCTTCTAGTACGTGACTTGTCTTTCCATTAACTCCATAGTATCTGTTGGAGAGCTGACATCTTTTTTATTTTGATAAAGTCTAATTTATCTTTTTATTTCTTGTGGAGGCTGAGCATGAGTTTTGAATTCATTCTCGTTGGACTGGCCTACATCACAGCTTCCCACCATGAACCAGTGACATGGAATATGACGGGTGGCTGGGACACAGAATAGGATGCTTGGCTTGAGTCAACGGAATTGTTCCCCGTCCTGCTGTTTTTCCTCAAGTACGGAAACCCAAGAAACGGAAAAGCATGCTAAACCCTAGGCACATTTAAGAGAGGTGAAGGGACAGAATGGCTACTGGGCAGCCAAGCAACATTCCCTAGAAGCAGTTCCAGGCAAAAAGCCAGTCGGCCAGCTGAGCAGCGCTGCTTGGCCCTGGGGGCTTTCTGTCCTCAGTCTCCCCACCACCCAATGGCCACATTTCCCAGTTCCAAAGTCCGAGAGCCCTGGACCTAGAACATAAGCCTTCGAACCAGGCTGCAAGATCACGGCTGAGGTTCCTGGCTTTTTGTCCCAGTGCTTCACTCACACTTCGCCTTCACCAAATCCCCGAGTAACAAGATGAATAAAGTAACAGCCATCACATTCAGTGCTTCACCTTCTACACAACCCTGTGCCGTCCTTAGGTCTGCCTGAGCCAGGCCATTTGCCCGTTGTCGCTTCCTTGTTCCCTTCACGTGAAAGCACCAAAGAGAGAAACGTAAGGATGAAAATGTTGGCAGTGTATATATACGCTGTCTGTATTAAGTGACGTACATTTCAAGTCCCCATTATCAGATGTTTTTGGACCACTCATTTTTAATTCATTAAAATGTTCTCTTTCGCATTAAAAAAAAAAAAAACC